ATTGCTGTACTATATACTCCAACATCACTGGCGCATGGTAACAACCAACTGACTGCAGACCATTTCCGGTCACACATTACTCTCCATAACACAGCACCCCCTAGTTCCGTCACCTCTGGATTACTTTGTGAGTCATCATCAAGTATAATTTCTCTGTAAGAGAGATTATTAGCAACATACATCGCCTCCCCCTCATCATTGCGTAGAGGTTTGTAACCATTGATCCCCACCTCACACTCACTAATATCCGAATACAGTTTAGCTTCAGATATTGCAAGAATATGAACAGCAGGGGCGGATCCAGAAATGTCCAAAAATGGGAGCCGAAAGGGGAGGGGGCCGATCGAGACAACACTGTCCTAGGAGTCCGGGGGCATTCCCCCGCGAAATTGTTGTGTTCTAGACGCCCGAACATAACATTTGAGGCATTCTGGGCTATTATTTTTTTCTCTTTCTATCTTTTTTTCTTTTTTTTACCTCCCAAAAGTGGGGGGGGGGGCGGAGCCGGCCCCCCCTAAATCCGCCCCTGATTATTGAAGAAGAGGAAGCTGTTTGGATCAATGAAAAAGTTTGGTTTCTCAAATCTGAGGTCGGGTATGATATACATTAATAAGCGCAGTTGATCAATATTTAAATGAGCCAGCCTGAGACCATTATGCGATTTGCGTTTGAAGTTGCGTTTATTTAAACTCCCAGGTCATGGGTTAAGTTAGGATGAATATCACCAGAAAGTTGAATTTGTAATAGACCTATATGACAGCATGAATTGGTATTACTGTGAAGAGCATTATAACGAAATTTCCATATAGGTATACATTTGGTATACTGTAGTAACAAACACCATCATTGCATAAAACCATACTGCATAGCGTAGCTCTCGTGTTTGATAACATGCAAATAAGAACATAAGTAAAACATATAATTCAAGATGTATATTCCTCAGATAACATGCTATATTTTAGTGGGAAAACAAAAGAGCGGTTTGAATTGATATAAAGAAAAAATTAATACCATAATTAATAATATAGATGACAGCCTAATTAGGAACGAATATAAGCTCCGTATTTTTGTGCAATATGCTACGCCTTCTCTCCGAAGAATATATATTAACGGTGTATGAATTATCCGACACACAGCTCAAAACCCTCCAGCATATACATACATACTAATAATAATATTATTATAAAAGTGGCTTGGTATGTCTGTCCATGGATCTACACATAGCTTTATTCATCGTCCTAAAGGCTTGAACTTTCCTACAATATCAACAATTTAAAATAATAATAATAATAATAATAATAATACAAATTTAGTAATACGCCAATTCCAAAGAACAATGATCAAAGGCGCAGTGTACGCTAGAGCTAGTTGTTAAGCTAGAGCAGCAAGGTATGGAGGGATGCTTAAATGGATTGCTTTTAAAAATTGCGTTTGTCAACAGGACGCAAGGAGATACTAATTACTGAGGTAATGTGACTTATATATTGGAGTCAAAGTACAGACACGGACAGCAATATTTTGAATTAATTGAAGACGCTTGATTAAATATGTGGGAAAGTCGAACAGTAGGAGTTGCAGTAATCGAGTTTGACGAAACAAAAGCATGGAAGTGATTGGGAAGTAGCAAGATTGAGAAATTTTCTGATCCGGCTGATAATGCGGATGTGATAGCAGATTTACATACAGAGTTGAATTGTTCATTGAATGTTATGTGCTGGTCAAAGATAACGCCAAGGTTTTTTACAGACGAAGAGGGGTGAATTGTGGAGGCGCCGAATCTGAGAGAAGGAAATTCTGATTTAGGAGCATAAAATTTAGAGAGAAATATGGTAAATTTAGTCTTATTGGCATTGGGTTTCAGCACGCTATTCGTCATCCAAGTTTGGATTTCAGAGATGCATTTTTTAAGTTTATGGAATAAAGAGATGTAATCAGAAGAAGGGTAGAATGGGATGTACTGTAATTTGTATGTCATCAGCATACATATGATAGTGGACTCCGTAAAATTGCAAGATAGTAGAGTGCACTTTTGGAAGAAAGCATGAAACTTCCCACAGTGATACTATGACACCTAAGGATCATTAAAAAAAAAGACCCCAAAAAAAATAACGCCACTTAGTGGCCGCCATCTTGAAATTCAAAATGGCTGCCAATATATTAGATTTTTATCAATAATCTTCATATCTACAACACCTAGCACTGTCATTCAAATGTCTTAACCGATGTTTTCAATATCAGGGAGCATGCAATCATCAGAAATTATGTCAGATGGCCGCCACATTTGATTTCAAGATGACTGCCAAAATATTGTTATTTTATCTTCATATCTACAGTAACGTAACAAAGTCAATCACACCTTTACCCATGTTTTTAATATCAGAGATTATCATGCAATCATCAGGAAATTATGTCAAGATGGCCAATGAAAGTTCCTTTTTCAGTTGTATGAAAAAGTTTCTCGAACGTATAGCCACTTACTATCTCGGTGTCATATCAGTAGGTCATATAGACTACAGAGTCCTATGTTTTTGATCTACTTTTTTATATTTATGATGCAAAAACGCTTAGACAGTAGAACACAAAATGTTTTATTCGTGTATATATACCGTATTGTATATACCACA